TCTAGGGTTTTCGGGTTTAGGTTGTAGTTTTTGTAGGTCACCTTCTCTGGGCTTTTGGGCTTTAGGGCGTTTCGGGCTGTTCGGCTTTGGGGGTTCAGGGTTTAGATGGTCGGAGCCTCTGTCTCTAGGAGTTAGTCTGCTGAGTTTTGCCCAGCCTTTGGACCATTTACCCTGAACCCTAAAACCTAAACCTTCATGTCTTGGTCTAACCGTTCAGGAATCGCATGCCCGATTACTGTAGCCGGTCTCTCTTTCCACACCTCGCGACCCTTTATGCACGGTATTTCAGGAGCGAACCACAAGCCTTAACCTTTCCTCGCGGTCTTACAATGAGCGTGAAAAGAACAATCAGAACCGTGAGACAAGGGTTAGAAGTGTGAGACAAAAGACACCATTAATGATCATTAATGCGTTCTATCTTCAGATCCAAGTTCACGGATTCTCTTCACGCTGGTACCGTCGAAAGCGCTACACCCCGAAAGCCCTAAACCCCGAAGCCGTAAAAACCCTGAAGCCCTGAACGCCCTAAAAGCCCTAAACGCCCTGAAGCCCTGATTAAAAGCCCTAAATCCCTAAAAGCCCTAGAAGCCCGAAAAGCCCTTAAAGCCCTGAACCCGAAAGCCGAAACAGATCACCACGTGGCTCAGGACACTTACTGGATGGGCCGTGAGCTCAGCCCTTCAGGGCAAAGAGCGGGCCCGGCGGTAGGGACCCACTCATCCTAGGGCTCAGGGTTGTTTAGGGTTAGGGTTTAGGGTTTAGGGTTTATAGGGTTTATAGGGTTTATAGGTTTAGGGTTTAGGGTTTATAGAGTGTAGGGTTTAGAGGCTGTATATAGGGTTTAGGGTCTCTCTCTCTCTCTCTCTGTCTTTCTCGCGCTCTCGCTCTGACTCTCGCCCTCGCCCTCGCCCTCGCTCGCGCTCGCGCTCTCGCTCTCTCTCTTCTCTCTCTCTCTCTCTCTCTCTCTCTCTCGGGACGCCTGTCGTTCTGCGATCTCAAAGTCAAAGTCTCTCTCTCTCTCTCTCTCTCTATGTACCTAAGTAGCAGCATGTAGAGTTGGCGGTCTTTTTGTTTATGGTCACTCTAAAAGGGGCTACCTTGAATTCCGGGGGCTGCCCAGATCCAAGATTTCTCCGCCGGGGTTTTTTTCTGGAATCTTCGAGCTTGGGTCTCGGAACAAACCTTCGCTCCTCCGACTAGTCTTTTGGGTCGAAAGGGTTCAGGGTTTAGGGCGGTCACTGGTATCCCCTGCAGCTTGAAGACGGGGCTTTGCCATGCAGTTGGCATGAATTTAGGGTATAAGAGGATAGGTAACCCCAAACCCCCAAAAACGTGAAGGTAGCTTCTCCAGTGGCCCTAAACCCCTAAACCCTAAACCCTAAACCCTAAACCCTAAACCCTAAACCCTAAACCCTAAACCCTAAACCCTAAACCCTAAACCTAAACCCTAAACCCTAAACCCTAAACCCCCCCAACCTCCCCCTATAGACCCTCCTTACATCAAAGTCAGTCCCACACAAAGCCTAGGGATCTTGCGGTTTAGGGATCTTGGGGTGTAGGATTTAGGGGTCTAGGGTCTGGGGATTTAGGGGTTTAGGTCTTTGTAGGGCCCTAAACCCTAAACCCTAAACCCTAAGCCCTAAACCCTAAACCCTAAACCCTAAACCCTAAACCCTAAACCCTAAACCCTAAACCTTATATTTAGGGTTCAGTTGCTTCGGGGACTGAGAGGAGGACGCAAAGTAGCGCCTTCTGTCCTCAGCGTCTGCTTGGAGGTTCATTGTACTTAATAACCCAATTAGTGGGTCTCAGGCCCGCCCCTCTTCGAGGGTGACAACGTGTACATCTCGCTCCTTCGCACGCAGGTTTAAGGGTTTAGCGCTTTTAGGTGTTTTGGGGTTTCGGGCTTTTAGGCGTTTTGGGGTTTAGGGTGCTTTTAGGTGTTTTGGGATTTAGGGTGCTTGGAGGCGTTTTGGGATTCAGGGTGCGTTTAGGTGCTTTGGGGTTTGGGGTGGTTTTAGGCGTGTTGGGGTGGGTGCTTTTAGGTGTTTTGGGGGTTGGGTGCTTTTAGCTGTTTTGGGGTTTAGGGTGCTTTTAGGCGTTTTGGGTTTTAGGTTTGGGCGCTTTTAGGTCAGTGCTTTGGGGTTTAGGGACCTTAAGCCCTAAACCCTACACCCCAATTTCAGGGTTGAGGGTTTAGGGATTTCAGGATGAAGGGGTTAGTGGCCTGAGGGTCGAGAGGTTGTTGTTTTCCTTCGGACCTTGTTGTTCTTCAAGTGTTCTGATAGGCCGTCTATGGAAGACTAAATAAACCCTTAACCCCTAACCCCTAGACACCTAAACCCCCAAACCCCAAAATCAGGAAACCCCTAAACCCCCAAACCCCTAAGCCCCTAAACCCCAAAACCGCTATATGAACCCCAAACCCTCAACCCTGAGCCCTGTATCCCTAAACAGTGCAAACTCGTGGGTTCCCGGGCTCGAAGTTTAGGGCATGGGCCACGAGGTCTATGGCTTAGGGGAACTTATCGGGCTCAGGGTGGGGCTTATAGGGCTTGTTTGGGGTTTAGGGTTTAGGGTTTGCTCAGGGTTTAGGATTTAGATTTTAGGGTTTGTTCAGGGTTTAGATTTTTGGGTTTGTTTAGGGTTTAGTTTTTTTGGGTGTGGGATTTTGGATTCAAAGGTTTAGGGATTGGGCTGAGCTGTGTTTGGGGTCCTGGGGTATGCGTTGACAGGGTTTGGGGGGCTTAGGCTGGCTGAGGACCTTGCGCAATCGCAGCAAGCTATCTGTCCGAAACTTCTTCAAAGTGGCACTCGATTGTGCTCAGCCTGCTCCCTAAACCCCAAACCCCAAAGCTTAAGCCCTAAAACCCGACGCCCCAGACGCAAGTCCGACCCAACCCTAAACCCCACACCCCAAAGCCTAAACCCTAAACCTAACAGACTGGGGCCCCCCGAGCCCCCTAAGCCCAACACCTCAACCCTCCCCCGTTAGGGTTTAGGGTTTAGGGTTTAGGGTTTAGGGTTTAGGGTTTAGGGTTTAGGGTTTAGGGCACCTGCCCAGGGTAGATCTCGGCAAGATTTACAATGCCACGGACATTGAAGTTTACTTCGGATGGCGTGCCCAGGCACAGCAGGGGCGGAGGGAATGTTAGGGGCAGAATAAATCACCCCCGCGATGGTAGAGACACTAAGCTGGTTGCAGTACGAGGCGTTCGTTGTTTTATAGTTCAGAACCCTAAGCCCTACTAGCCCCAAGCCCTAAAACTCTAACCTCAGTGTCGTCACCGCCCGGATTGCTGTCAGTGCCGATCTTGAGAGCCGAGGGGAGATGTCTTCCTTGAGGGTTCATCGGGTTGAGGGTTTAGGATTTAGGGTTTAGGGTTTAGGGAGTTTAGGGTTTAGGGCCTTGGGGTCATTGTGCGCAAGTCCCATGTATGTTGGCATCTTCATCTCGCTCATGTGATCTCGGCTTAGGACGCAACTTACTTGTTTACTTTGTGTTGTTGGGATCCTGGTGCGTTGCAATTAAGTTATAAGCCTTATGCCCTAAGCCCTACGCCCTAAACCCTACCCTTTTTCCCCAGGGGCTATTTCAAAAGCCCCGAAGTAGGACCCTAAACCGTAAACCCTAAACCCTAAACCCTAAATTCTCTGAGTCGGTTCAGAGATCAAGGCTTTTGGGTTCGGGATGCTAGACATTCACAGTTAGCCTAGATTCTAGATGCAAACCTTTGGCGCTTTATTCAAAGCCCATAGGGATACTTAAACACAATTTTTGCTAGGGTTCCAAGTTCAGTATAGAGTCTGGTGAGGCTGGGTTAGGGTTGAGGGCTTTGTCCTGTGTCGTGGGCCCAAAAAACTAAGCTCTGATGAACCTCAAACTGGGTTTGGGGGTTTAAGGTTTAGGGTTTAGGATTTAGGGTTTAGGGTTTAGGGTTTAGGGTAAGCCTTCCATCCGTAGACCCTGAACCCTACAGGTGGTGTATCTGCAGATATCCGAGGATGGCGCCGGGAGCCAAGCAGGTGGTGTGGAGCTCTCTAGAACTTCCAACGCCACTACATACTACATGTGGGTTTAGGGTTTAGGGTTTAAGGTTTAGCGTTTAGGGCTTGGGTCTAGGGTTTAGGGTTTAGGGTTTGGGGTTTAGGGTTTAGGGTCTGAGCGTTTTCGGTGTAGGGTGTATCTAAAACCCAGAACCCTAAGACCTCAACCCGATATCCCATGGCTTCTTAAGTTCACCATGGTCGCCATGACCCGAAGCCCTAGGGTTTAGGGTTCAGGATTCAGGGTTTAGGGTTTAATTAGGGTTTAGGGTTCAGGGTAGAACGGGGCTTGGGGCTCAGGATTACGGTCATGGCACTCTTACCTTGTCCTTGTGACGTTGGACCCATGGGTTTTTGGGACTTTTTCTGAAGCCCTTATCATAACTGGGTTTTGGAGTACTGTACTTTAATACTTTTTTTTGTTCTGGGTTCCTATTATAGCTACTTATACCTAAAAAGTATATACTTTTTTCCAGGGTCTACTCCAAAGGTAGGATAATATTGTTACTGGGCTATCAAGAAGCTTTTTGATATTAGCGAACCTCTTGGGGCCACGTCCTTCGGTGTCAAAGTTTGATTCCGTTGATTTAGGGTATTTCCTTATAATAAGGGGATCCTACTATTTGGCGGGGGAATATAATTTCGTAAACTCCCATATGTGTAAAATTGGGGTAAAAGCACAGTTGTAGCTGGGTTAGTAAGGTTTAGGGTCTAGGCTTTAGAGTTTAGGGTTCGTTTAGGGTGCCATGAACCCCCAAGTAGTAAGCCATCGCGGCTTGCAGGCGAGCTCCCCCCAAGAGTTCTGCGGCTTCTGACACTTGCAGGGTTTAGGGTTTAGGGTTTAGGGTTTAGGGTTTAGGGTTCTGAAAGAGTTGGAGAAGAAAGAACCCAAAGCCACCCGCGGAAAGCCTCAGTGGCTCAAGGCCTGCTGAAGGTGTAACGTGCCTCGGCTCATGCCTCCGTCAGATGCCTCCAACACCGTGGCTCGGTAATGTAGGGTTTGGGGTTTGGGGTTTAGCGTTTAGGGTTTAGGGTTTAGGGTCGGAATAGTTCCTAATTGCATTCCCTTGTGGTCCATTTATGATTATACATTCTAACCCCCCCCCCAAAAAAATATTCTATTCTAAATATTTTGTGTGTGTGGGATTCCCTGGGACCAAGGGTAGCGGAGGTTTGAGCAGTGCACAATGTTGTCGCAAGTTTCGGTACTCGTTGTAAATGCCAGAGTTTGTGAACTTGTGGTCCGCGCTCAAGTTTTCAATGTTTTCGCGTGTTGGTCCCTGCAGGGGGCACCTGGGGAAAGGACTCGGGCAGGTGCCAATGAAGACCCCCATCCTGACCCGTGAAATAGGGGTGGGACGCCGCCCCCTACGTACCTGCTTCGAGATGCTCCGCTCCGTTCTGCATGTTTTCTTGTCGCCTTGACTAACTCAAGTGTGAGTGTCGGCAGGCCTTCCCACTGGGCGCTAGTCGTGAATCCTCTGCTAATCTGCAGAGGGTCCCCAAAAACATACATGAGGCTGCATGATGTGGCCCAAAAACCAAGGCGTGGACGTGAGTTGAGCATGAGCCTGTGTTGTTGAACATGCTGTCAGGTACATGTCGAAGCAGTAAAGTTGGTGTACGTGGTTTGTAAGGTTATGCCTGACAAGAAGATCCTGCGACCATACCCTGTGAACCAGATTGTTTTGAGACCAGATTTTGAGACCAGAAATCTTCGGGACCAAAGCTTTGCGGACCAGATCCAGACCAGGTGATGCGGCTATCAACTCGCTGTAACAGAACGCGCTCTTACTACTCCGTGATTGTTGTTGTCAGTGTCGTTTCGCTGTGCAATGGATCTTTTTGTGTCCGCATGTCGTTCGGCAATTGCATGAGAAAGCATGCCCTGTGTTGCAGGGGACCAGTTTTGACCACCTCGAAAGAATCCTCCATGGCATCGCCTAAAAGCGTTTCCGAACAAAACTCTCCATCATGACGAGAGCTTCATGGCGGTAATGTAATGCATGGAGGTCGTGATGGCCCGAAGGCCGTGTTGCCTGACAACTTGCACATGGCCTGGGTTGAATGTTGCAAGTACACCCCGAGCGGTGTAATGCATCAAGTATTGCGCTTGGCTTGACTTGAACGACGGTGCATGGCATGATTGTCAATGGCACGAGTGCAGTGAGCTGCACATCGCAACAGAGTGAATTGCGCAACGGATTTGCATGACTGTGCATGACAGAAGCGATGTGACGTTTGGAGTCGTATGCTTGGCGTGACTTGAACGATGCATAGCGTGGCCGTGCATGGCATATGTGTGTGCTGCATGGTGGCAACTGGCACATGTCCCCACTTGACCGATGCATAGCGTAAATGCGACTTCACAAGTGGGTACACACTTTTTGGATTTACTGATGACGATCTCAAGCTCAAGCACGAGTGATGCGAGAATATTTGCGTGCTAAGTTGGCTTTTGCGTGTGGGATTCCCTGGGACCAAGGGTAGCGGAGGTTTGAGCAGTGCACAATGTTGTCGCAAGTTTCGGTACTCGTTGTAAATGCCAGAGTTTGTGAACTTGTGGTCCGCGCTCAAGTTTTCAATGTTTTCGCGTGTTGTTCTCTGCAGGGGGCACCTGGGGAAAGGACTGGGGCAGGTGCCAATGAAGACCCCCATCCTGACCCGTGAAATAGGGGTGGGACGCCGCCCCCTACGTACCTGCTTCGAGATGCTCCGCTCCGTTCTGCATGTTTTCTTGTCAACTTGACTCCAACTCAAGTGTGTGTTTCCCCTTGCTGAGTTTAGGAGGGTCATGTGTAGGAGTCTTTTGCAGGAAGTTGTGAGGGGCTATCCTAGAACCCTCAACCCCCAAGCCCAAATCCAAACCCTAAGCCCTAAACCCTAAACCCTGAACGGGGCCATCCCAGGTGGCAGTTCGCTTCCTGGCAGACTGCCACACGAATCTTCTCGGGGCGGCTGGCCTCCTCTCTCGGCTTCCTGGTGTTTAGGGTTTAGGGTTTAGGGTTTAGAGATTAGGGATCCGTTTTCAGGTTCACCAGAGGGGCCCCCTCATCACTCATCCCTACAGAACCCTGTTCATCCTACACCAACCCAAATCCCTCTAAACGCTAAACGAATGTCAAAGCCCTAAAATGTCTTAAATACCCCCCCCCTAAACCCTAAACCCTAAACCCTAAACCCTAAACCCTAAACCCTAAACCCTAAACCCTAAACCCTAAACCCTAAACCCTAAACCCTAAACCCTAAACCCTAAACCCTAAACCCTAAACCCTAAACCCTAAACCCTAAACCCTGAACCCTAAACCCGCCCGCCACCCCACTCTCTTGTCTTTTGGGGTAGGCGGGCGCTGGTCGAGCGCTCAGTGAGACCCTGCGAGGGAGCCCCAGGCGGGCGACCGAGCTGGCGCTGACCCTCCAGGCAGGCACAGGCCGAGTCAGCAGTTGTCACTGTATTATATTATATTACCCTAAACCCCAAGCTGTCCGCGCACATGGTTGGGTCCTGCACTGGAGGGCCCCCTGGCACGGCCCCTTGAGGGCCCTGGTCCATCACCCCCGTCCGCTGGACTGAGGGGACGTGGGGCCGTTACCCGGCCTGGCCCTGCCCTGGCCCTGGCCCTGGCCCTGGTTCTGGCCCTGGCCCTGCTCCTGACGCTGGGCCTGCCCTGAGGCCCTGACCCTGGCCCTGGCCCTGGCCCTGGCCCTGGCCCCTCCCTGACCTCCTGGTGACCCTCTGCTGCAGGCCTGGCCCTGGCCCCTGGCCTGTTCGAGTCATCTTACCAAGCCAAGCTGTCCGCGCACCAGTTTGTGTCCTGTTTCGGGGCTCTCCTCTGGCTTTAGCCCTTCGCACTCCTGCCTCGCTTCCGTTTGCTGCAACTTTGTGCCTGGTCCTGACCCTGGTTGGGCACCCCACCTTACCCCGTTCGCGCCAAGCCAAGTTATTAGCCCTGTTTTCGTGGTTTTTTTGGTTAACCCAAGCTGTTCACTGTGTGTTCTTCCTGGCTGGAGCCCCTTCGCGCCAACCAAGCCTCGCTGCCTTTCTCTGTTCCTGGCCCATCCCTTAGCCCCTTCGCGCCAACCCAAGCTGTCTTCACGGACCCTGCCTCGTTTCCGTCTGCTGCAGCTTTGCGCCTGGTCCACGCACCTTGTGGAAATCCCCAAAAAGGGTGTGAGTGCTGACTCATGTGATGCTTTGTAAAAAAATAAAAGGTCTTAACTCCTTGAGAGTTGTAAGTGGGCGGTCTTGGGGTGGGTAGGTCTGCAGACTACCGCGCGCTCCCAAAGCGCGCTCCCGTCTGGCACGCCCTAAACCCTAAACCCTAAACCCCCCCGCCCGCCCCCCCTCCCCCCCCAACCCCAATCGAGGTTCGGCAAGATCGCAAAACTAGACGCCACCCTGGCTGCCGAAACCGGGCTGGTAGTCGCGACCTTCTTCGACGTCAGAGCTGCTCAGAAGGTTCTTGCTCACTTCGAAGACATGGCCCACCCTGTCCCATCGCTCCCCGAGGACTTTCGTGCTGTCAGCATTCCGCTGAAGGATGATCTCCAGGCCCAAGTTGAGCAGTTCTTCGGCTATGGGGAGGTTGCCGGCATGTGGCGCTGGGAAGAGGAGCTCGTTGTGGAGTTCTACGACCTGCGCGCCGCTCGACAGGTCATGATGTCGATCCCCGCCAGCCGGCCTAGACCAGCGAAGCATGCCGCAGAAAGCCAAGAATTTCAGAGAAGCCACTTGGCAGGCCCTTGGGATACTAGGACCCCGAGTGGCCCTTTATACTCCCTTTATTTTGAGGGTTTAGGTCCCCTTCTAAGCCCCTTCAAAACCCAAAAAGGGAGCCCTTGTTGATTCCTAGTTAGGTTACGTTACTCTTGAGTCTGGGATACATGAACTTACGTTAAGTGTCGGGTTCAGATAGGAATATTGCTTCAGAGGTTCAAATTCGGCCAAACAAGGCAAGATTCCTGAGCCACGCCGTGCGTCAGTTGAGATGGCTGGGTCTGCACAGGAAATCTCGAGGGCCGTTGTTCCGGAAAAGAACACCAACATCTCGGAGGAGGATCGGGCTTGGCTTGGTATCCGGAGTAAGTCACCTTGAATAGCCTTCGTGTGGTACGTACTAGATTCGTCATCCCTGTATAATCCAAAAAGGTTACAGTAACTGTAAGCCTTCAGTTCTGAGACCTTAAACCCTATAATCCCTAAGACCAGCAAAGTTCAGGCCAGCTCGGAAGATTTTCCAGGATGATCAGCAAGCGCAGTGCCTCTCCGTACGGCGGAGGATAGCGGTGGTGACTGCTTGGGAACCTCGGTTTGCGGTTTAGGGCTTGCGGTTAGGGTTCAGGGCTTAGGGTTTAGGGTCGCGTGAGCAAGCATCCAGGCGATTGAGAAGCAATGATTTCCAACCGTCCTTGCTGCCATGATGCTTTTCCTTAAGGGTTATAAGGAGGGACCCCCAGAAAAGACCCTTAATCGTATCCCTGTTTCTAACCGCGATTGCTACCTTATATATACTCCCCATATACCTAAGTAGCCCCCAAAAAACCCCAAAAGAACCCGTAAGGTCCCTTAGAAGGGTCCCTCCTTTAGTCCCTTGATTTCCAGCAATCGAGTGCAGATGAGTCCAGTGGATCAAGCGCGGGGTTGGTTGGTAGGGAAGGGAGGAATGCCCGGAGGGTCCATTTGTAGTACTGGAATGGAAGTGCCGCAAAAGCCCATACTAAGTAGGGTTTTAGGGGTGCCAAAATTTCCAGAACTGTACTACAAAGATTCCTCAGGGATAGTTCAGACTAATGAGTCTCAGAATGCCACCATTCCTTCATTCCCTACCAAGCAACAGCAACTCAGACTACGGAAAAGAGTACTGGGTGTCGAACCCTAAACCCTAAACCCTAAACTCTAAACCACAAACTTGCTGCACGTCTGCTTGGCTGCACGGTTCAGGGTTCAGGGTCTAGGTAGGCCCTTCGGATACCTTGCAACTCCCCTTTGCCGGGTTAGTTCGGCGCCAAAACCCGGAACCCTGAACCCTTAACCCTCTGAACGCTTCCATGCCCTAAACCCTAAACCCTAAACCCTAAACTCTAGCATGGACCTGTTGAATTCAAGGCTTTAGTGCGACGCTGGAGGCATGGTTTGAAAGCGTGGCCAGAGGCACCCCTCAAGTCGCCTACAATACATGAATTCATGGGGTTTAGGGTTTAGGGTTAGGTTTAGCGCCGAAAGCTCAGACCATTTGGGGTGTAGAGAGCCTCCACGAGTTTTTCGCACAGCATCCTACTCTGCTGCGGGAGTGTCAAAGGCTGGGATCTAGTGCAAGGAACTGGACCCTAAACCCTACAGCCTGCACGGACAAGAGTGGGGTTCGAATGTTCAACTGCAGCAAGAAAGCATTTGGGTACCGAACTGGAAATGCATCTGCTTCATGGTAACTTTGTGGCATTGCACCCTGAACTTTAAGGAAACGTATACATGCGTATACATATATATATATATGTATATATATACACATAAAATTAGAAATAAAAAATTCTAATACTACCAATAAGAAGAACAATCAGGCTAATAATTCAGTATGTATGTATGTATGTATGTATGTATGTATGTATGTATGTATGTATGTATGTATGTGTGTATGTGTGTATGTGTGTATCTATGTATCTATGTGTGTATGTATCTATGTATCTATGTGTCTATGTGTCTATGTATCTATGTATCTATCTATGTATTCATGCATGTATGTATGTATGTATGTATGTATGGTGGAGACCTGGAAAGGGGCGCGTAGTTTCCAGTTCTTTGTCGGGGTTTCGGGACTCAAGGTTTAGGGTTTCAGGCTTACCCTAAACACTAAACCCTAAACCCTAAACCCTAAACCGTATAAGGCTTATGGTCACTGAGTTTAAGAGCTCCTGAAGGAGGCCAGTTCCCTGTGCGAGATTGATATCCAGCCAGTTGCTGCCAACAAGCGCTGCATGTCTTGAAATCTTCCGGAGCTCTGCAGCACAATTAGAGCCAGATGTCGAGTGAATTCGCTGTCCTGGTTGCCTTGCTAAGTGCGTCGTGCCCTGCCCAGAACGCCCGCAACCGCAAGGTTTAGAACCGGAGCGAAAGGTGTAGATAAAACCGGGTGCACGTACCTTCTGCACACTTGCGTCTACGGGTCACCTCACTTAGAAGCTGCCCTAAACCCTGAACCCTAAACCCCAAACCCTAAACCCCAAACCCGAAACCCTTTTCCTTAAACCCTCAACCTTAAACTGGGTTCTAATATGGCTTATCTTACTGGTAACATGGGACCGAGACCCATTCAACCCTATACGCCAAACCTAAACCCTAAACCCTAAACCCTAAACCCTAAACCCTAAACCCTAACCCCTAAACCCTAAACCCTAAGCCTTACACCCCGGCTTCAGGCTAGGCTTCTTGCAGCTGAGAGTCCAGCACCCTGTTGTTAAGATGAAGCTCTCAATAAGAATCCCTATGTATAGCACATCCTAAACCCTTAACCTAGGGTTTAGGGTTTAGGGTTTAGGGTTTCAGGTTTCAGGGTTTAGGGTTTAGGGTTTTAAATCTCACCCCCAATCCCGAAATCCTAATCCCCGAGGTCAACTACATCGAGAAGCCCCTGTCCAGTGGCAACGTTCTTGGCCTGCTAGCGCTGGAGGACGCGGCACGATCTGTTTAGGGGGCTGTAGCATCAGTGTCTAAAGTCGGGCTTACGGTTTAGGAATCCGAGTTTGAGGTTTATCGAAGGTAAGTTGCATGGCAGTTTAATGTGGTCCGTTACCTTCTGTAAAGGGTTCTGAGGAGGCCCTTGGGTTTTATAGAGTATATCAGGGTATTTCACAGGTCCCCCAATGAAAAAGGGACCATGCAATTCCCCTAACAGTTTGAATTATGTCTTTGGGCAGGGTTTACGGCTTAGGGGCATAGAATTACTTGAAAATGATGGACAATGTATGTAGTCTTTTGGTGGGATGTGACGTTGTGGGGTCTAGGGTTTGCGGCTGGTTTTTGGTGGTTTGGGTTGTTGCGTTTTAGAATCTCTACGTGCATGTCAGTCTGGGAGGGTTGGGGGGGGGGAGGATTCGGTTGTGGAACTAAAGCTGCATTTCTTGCAACCCTAAACCCTTTAACCCTTGACCCTTGACTCCTTGACCGTAAACCCTAAGCCCTAAACCCTAAACCCTAAACCTTTGGGTCCGGGGCCGGGGCTTAGTCCCGACCGTCTGTGGCCACCAGTCCCTCCCCCCGAGTTTTGGGGTCTTCCGGGGGCCTGTTGGGAATCCCGGAACATGTATAAAGGCGGGGTTTAGGGGTTAGAATTTAAAATTTAGGGTTCTTAGGGTTTATCGCGGAGCTTTGTGCGGTGCCCTGCAATAAAGCGCATTGAGCACCTAAGAAGGGCACCCTTGAGCATCCCAAACACTGAACTCCTAACACCTAGCGGTTTAGGGTTTAGGGTGTAGGGTTTCGGGTTTAGGGTTTAGGGTGAAAGCCTCAGCCCAAAACCCAAAACCAAAATACTTTAGCTTAACCTCATAAATCATCAAACTAAGTCCCCAAACCGCTTCAACGCCCAAACCCTTAAGCCCCCCAACAAGCTAACCTCTAAACCCTGCACCCCAAGCCTGCAAACTACTAAATTCCGTAAACTACTCAAACCTCCAAACCCAAACCCCAAGCCTCCAACCCCGCGATCTCGCTATGCAACCCAAACCCTAAACCCTAAACCATAGGCCCCCTATATTCGCTAAACAACCCTAAACCCTAAACCCTAAAACCCTGAACCCTGAATCCTAAACCTTAAACCCTAAACCCTAAACCCTAATTACAGGACCCAAAGCCCTGCATCCCAACCCTGCAGGAGAAAGGGCTCACCTTCCAAGTCAGGTGACATCTGCGTTGGGTGTGGTTCGAGTTTCAGTGTTAGGGCTTTAGGGTTTAGGGTTTAGGGTTCAGGGTTCAGGGTTTAGGGTTTAGGGTTTAGGGTTGTTCATCTACCCTTGCCCAAATCACGGTGAGGCTCACCTAGTTCACGGGGGCGGGAGGGTCCGAATTCTTGGCTCTAGTCGGAAAAAGGGTTTAGGGTTTAGGGTTTAGGGTTTAGATCTTAGGGCAGATGTAAAGCCCGCGACCAAAACCCACCCAACCTCCAGAACCCTTAACTGCCTTAGCTAGGATGCGCCAGGAACGTGACGATGCGCCGTAAACCCTGAGACCCTATACCCTAGATGAGGCTTTCCTAGAGCAGGGGTACCTGTATTTTTTGAAGGAGGAGGGGGAGGGGGGGGGGTCACGGGTCCCTAAAGACCCTACGCCCTAAACCCTAAAGGCCCAAATTGCAGCCAGGTATGTGACGATGTGGATCCAGAGAGGCTTCCAGGAGTGATGTCGATGGGGGGAGGGGGTTTAGGGTTTAGGGGTTCAGGGTTTCGGGTTTAGGGTTTAGTGTTTAGGGCTTCGAGCTTTTGCCTGTAGCATTTCAGGTTTAGGATGCCGGCAGGATGGAGGCAGCACAGGGTCCCATGATATGGAGTACCCCAAAATCCTAGCCCCTATGCGCAATGGGTAAGCTTTGTTTGGTCCTCCCATAGGTGAAGGGTGTTTTTGGGTCCCGGGCTCTGGAGTTCGGATCTCAGAGGGGCGTGGGGTCTGGTAACCAGGGTTTCACAGCCCAGGCCCTCATGAACACTGGGTTTAGGGTTTAGGGTTTAGGGGTTAGGGTTTAGGATTGGCCCTAAACCTTCAAGCCCTTAACCCGAAACAATGCATGGGTTTAGGGCTCAAGGTATTGGCTTTCTACTGCAGCCTCAACCCAGGACTCTTGAAACTTCGTTTCTCAGGTCTGCAGCAGAAGCCAGCACCCTGAACTAACCCCCAAACCCCAAACCCCAAACCCTAAACCCCAAACCCTAAACCCTAAACCCTAAACCCTAAACCCCAAACCCTAAACCCTAAACCCTAAACCCCAAACCCTAAACCCTAAACTTTGTTCTGCAGGATGCTGAGAGTGGCCAGTGGGGCACGACGATTCGAGACTTCGGGGTGCTCCAGTTCTCGTGCCCTGGCGTCGACAAGCTCTGGGGGTTCAGGGTTTAGGGTGCAGGGTTTGGGGTTTAGGGTTTAGGGTTTAAGGGTTTAAGGGTTTAAGGGTTTAAGGGTGTAAGGGTTTAAGGGTTTAAGGGTTTAGGGTTTCTGTTTAAGGGTTCGACTTCTGCAAAGTGGTTCAGCACAAGGACTTCTAGGGGCCCTAAGAGTGAGGTGGCTGGTATCCTGAAGGACCGTAAACCCTAAACCCTAAACCCTAAACCCTGAACCCTAAGTTTTTGTGTCGCCGGAACTAGGAGGGGTTCGGTTGGCTCATTCCTGGAGGGGCAGGGTTTAGGGTTTAGGGTTTAGGGTTTAGGGTTTAGGGTTTAGGGTTTAGGGTTTAGGGTTTATGGTTTAGGGCAGTTTAGGTCTTAGAGGCTTGTTGCTTAGCGATGGAGTGCGCTGTGGCCCCCTGAACCCTGGAATGACGAACGCCCCGACCTCTAAAGCTTCAGAATCTAAACCCTAAACCCTAAACCCTCAGCCCTAAGCCCTAAGCCCTGTAAACCCAAACCCCCAACCCTGAACCCTCATCCCAAAACCCTAAACCGTAACCCTAAACCCTAGACCCTAAATCCTAAACTCTACACCCTAAACCCTAAACACTAGACCCTGAACCCAAACTTTAGACTTAACAACGTGATCAAAGCCCTGTCCCAGCAACATGAATCCTCTCCTTGATCCCTGAACCCTAAGCCCCAGGAGTATGAACCTGAAAGCCCTAAACCCTAAACCCTAAAACCTAAACCCTAAACCCTAAACCCTGATCATGTCATGGTTCATGAACCCCAAAAGCCCCTGAACGCCAGGAATATGGTGCGAGGCAAAGTTCCGATTGTCGACAGCGCCTTGGACGCGCGTGGCGGGAGGGTTTAGGATTTTTGGGGTTTAGGGTTTCGAGTTTAGGGTTTACAGGGTTTATAGGGTTTAGGGTTTGGGGTTTAGGGTTCATAAGGCTTAGGGCACTAAACCCTAAACCCTCAACCGGTATTTAGGGTACTTAGGGTCTTGAAGGTTCAGGGTTCAGCGTGGGGGGGGAAGGAAGGGACATCCTAAACCTGTTGTTCCCTTTCGGGTTCGGCTCCCGTACGTAAACCTTGTAAATACTACAGGGTTTAGGGTTTGGGGTTTAGGGTTTAGGGAATACCACAAACCTTGGGTCCACTCCGACCCCCCCCCCCCCCCGCCCTGAGGGTACCCAGGATTCGGTCCAGATTTTGAGGCTTGCGTTCAGGGTTCCCCAGCGCCATCCCAGGTGACCTTTTCACGGCCTAGTAAACCCTAAACCCTAAACCCTAAACCCTAAACCCTAAACCCTAAACCCTAAACCCTATTTTTTTCAATTTTCTACTTTTCGGCACCCCCATTGACAAAGCTCCGACCCAAAGTTTGCCTTCAAGAAGCTTTCTTTTCGGGGGGTCCAGGAGGAGACTGTGGAGCCTTCTCAGGGGCCTTTCAAGCCTCCCAATGGGTTTAGGGTTTAGGGTTTAGGGTTTAGGGTTTAGGGTATAGGGTTTTTTTTCGCTTAGAACCTCTTAGAGGCTTCAGTCCCAAAGCGCAAACCTCGATCCGAGGAAGTATGGCACTCTGAATCAAAACCTGCCGCCGCTCCCTGCAAGCTACCAAACCCCAGAAGATTCCGACGACGAAATGGCCGTGAGGGTTGAGAGTTTAGGGTGAGCTCGAAACTCTGAACCCTAAACCCTATCTCCCAGACCCTAACCTTTAAACTCTAAACCCTAAACCGCTTATGCTTCAGGCTAAGCCGCAAGTTTTCTTGTGCCGAAACCCGAATTGACATCTATATGCGCCCGTGTTCCGCGTAATCGACCCACCCCTCCCCCCAATGGTATCCCCCCCATGGTATCCCCCCTAAACCCTGCCTGTTAACCCTAAACACACCACAGACCACACCACAGACCGGGGGCGGGGGGGACAGCGAAACCTCAGCCCAAACCCCAAACCCTGAACCCTAAGCCCTAAAACCTGAACCCACCAATGAACGACAGAAGGGAGAAGGGTAAACCCGAAACCTGAGCGGCTTTAACCCTGGATCCTGAACCGTAAACCTAGCACGAACCACAGGGGAGAGGGGAAACCGTAAACCTACCATTACCCCAAACCTTGAACCCTAATGAAACTCTAGTCTAGACTCTAAACCCACAGTGAACCAATGGACCAGAGTGAAGGTCCTGAACTCTACAGCCTAACACTAAACCCCTAAACCCTAAACCCATGCGACCATGAACTACTCGGAAGGGGGACGGGGCGGGGCAACCCAAAACCCACCATGAACGGGGGGGGGGGGGGGAATTCATGCCAGGGGGGGGGAGGGGGAGGAGGGGGGGGGGGGCGGGGGGAGGGGGGGTTCAGGGGGGGGGGGGGGGGTGCGCCTATGGCCCATATAGGGGGTTGTTAGCCCGATCGTTGGAGCTAGGATGTTAGAGCTTTAGGGTGTAGCGGTTTTTACTTATAGGGTTTAGGGGCTACAGAAGGGTTTTGGGATGTTGGGGCTTCAAAGTGTACATTTTTTATTGTTTGGGGTTTAGGGTTTTCGTCATTATGGGTGTCACTGCTTAAGATTTTCTGGAGTACCCTAAGCACAACACCCGGGCTTTGAGGCTTACAGGTGGCGCACCCCAAACCCTAAACTCTAAACCCTAAACCCGAAACCCTAAACCCTAAACCCTAAACCCTAAACCCTAAACCCTAAACCCTAAACCCTAAACCCTAAACCCTAAACCCTAAACCCTAAACCTAAACCCCAAGCCCGAAACTTCCAGGTCTCTGGGAGTATCCGGCGGCCTGGACCGTGGACAACAGTATGTCACCGATCCCAGCTCGTCTGAGGGGTTAGGGTTTAGGGGTTTAGGGTTAAGTTTAGGGTTAAAGGTTTAGGGTTTAGGGTTTAGGGTTTAGGGTTTAGGGTTTAGGGTTTAGGGTTTAGGGTTTAGGGTTTGGGGTGGGCCTCTGTGGACCGCGTCGCAGCCCTAAAGCTTGAGGATTCAGGTTATTATAGGTAGGTTATAGTATGAATCTCGTGGGGCTTTAAGAGGAACACGTGTAGGAAGGTTTTTCTGAGTGTTTTAAGCGCCATCCTGGGTTTAGGGTTCAGGGTGTGTTTAGCTAGTAACGTCCTTGGTCTTAAACACCACTCGTATAACACCCTGAGTATGCGACTGGTGGCTGCTTCCAACACTTTGCCCCCTGCTTCCCTAAACCCTAAACCCTAAACCCTAAACCCTAAACCCTAAACCCTAAACCCTAAACCCTACACCCTAAACCCTAAACCCTAAACCCTAAACAACGCACTTTGCCCCCTGCCTCAAAGAAGTACCGGCAGTGCACGCCAGACCTAAATGACTAATCCCTTAGGGCAGTTTGTAATTATTCTAAAATACCCACCAACACCCTATTCCAATCATTCTGGCCCCTATAGCTACCTAGCCCACCTTCAGACTTCCAAGATCCCACCAAAAAGGAAGTCAGGCTCGCCTGTTCAACCCTCAACCCTCATAGCCCCCTGGTCTTCCCCGCCAAACCCTAAAACCCTAAACCCCAAACCCTAAACCCTTAACCCTAAACCCTAAACCCCAAACCCCAAACCCTAAACCCCAAACCCTTAACCCTAAACCCTTAACCCTAAACCCTAAACACCCCCCAGCAAAAGGGACACGGAGTGGACTTCGCGCTTTGGAGCTTTGGAGGCCTTTGCTTGAGGAAAGGGAGGGCTTTGTCCGGTAGTTCAGGGGTTCCCCTACTACCCCCCTCTATACCTCTTTAGGGTTTAGGGTTTAGGGTTTAGGGTTTAGGGTTTAGGGTTTAGGGTTTAGGGTTTAGGGTTTAGGGTTTAGGGGTACTGCCCCCCTCTATACTACCCCCCCCCCCCCCCCCCAAGTTCCCTCCATAATTAAGGCTATTTAGGGATAGTTGCCCTCATTAAGGCTATTTAAGGGGGGGAAGCTAGGGTGGTAGTTTACAGGGGGCTAGTCGGGGGAACCCATGAATAGTTGTCAGGGTTCAGGGTTTATCTTCGGGTTGTTAAACAGCCCCTCAAAAATTGCCCTTAAATGGAGGCCCCTTCTTGACCCCGTATAAACCCTATAACACCCAAGGGCCCGTACTTCAGCACCCTTTAAAGAAGGTAAGGGACCATGTTAAGGGACCATGTAACTACCCCTAAAACCCTAACCCTAAACTCCAAAGCCCTAAAACCCCAAACCCTAAACCCCAAACCCCAAACCCTAAACCCTTAGAATTCGGGTTTGGGGTTTCGGGCTCAGGACGGGTACCCCTCCACCTCACAGCAGCATTCCGCCAATGAGCTCCTTACAAAAGAAGGTTAGACAACCCTAAACCCTAAACCCTAAACCCCAAACCCCAAACCCTAAACCCTAAACCCGAAACCGAAATATCTCCACACGTAAGATTTTTTCCGCCGCCGACTCCGCACCGCTGAGTCAGAACACGTGCTTCTCGGAGGGGGCTGCATATTCAGTTGATACTGGTTTGGGCCTTACTGGCTCAAAACCCAACTTTTCAACTCTTGGGCTTCTTATGAGGTAGTTTATTCTGAAAGTTTTAACTTTTATTTCCTTGGGTTTTGGGCCAGTAAGGGGCAGTTCGCTAGATGACGGTCCCGTTGGGGGTCCTTTTTCCTTTGTGGTGCTTTGCTGTAGCTTTGGATCCTTCGCCTTGTTGGGCTTATTGGGTTTCTTAATAAGGCAGCTAAAAGTTTAGTCTTTTGCTGCCCTCCTAAGTGCAGCGGAGACTCAACACGGGACGGGTCAGGGTTAAGGAATCAAGGCTGGTTGCCTAGTTTCAGTGTCTATGCCAGTTGGGACCTTAATTTTGGTGGTTGATGGAGAAGATCAGAAACGCAAAGGGCGACATCTGTTTTGCGTCAATGTGTAGACTTCCCTCCGATCGCTTGCGTTCCCAAACTTCTTAACTTGAATCCCTGAACCCACACCCTGAGCCGTAAACCTCTAAGCCCTAAACTAGATCAGTGTTAAGGATACTTTTTACTTTTTGGGTTATGGGCTTTTCTTATATATGAACAAAAAAGGATCCTTTTTTTCTTCCTAGGGGAACAGGGATTAAGTAAATTACCTAGAACCCTAAACCCAAAAACACGGAGACTCCTAGGCCTGCCCACAGGATTGCTCACAAAGGCAGGGCCACGGTTTAGGGTTTAGGGTTTAGGGTTTAGGGTTTAGGGTTTAGGGTTTAGGGTTTAGGGTTTAGGGTTTAGGGTTTAGGGTTTAGGGTTTAGGGTTTAGGGTTTAGGGTTTAGGGTTTAGGGTTTAGGGTTTAGGGGCCTCTTCAGCAGCCACGTGTAAAGCGAAGAAGGAGGCCGAGCCTGTGGAAGAGACCGAGGTCCAGGAGGAGGAGTTTGAGACACCCACCCTAAACCCCAAACCCCAAACCCTAAACCCTAAACCCCAAACCCTAAACCCTAAACCCGAAAGCGACCGGCTGCAAAGCTGTCCACCAAGGCCCCGGCTAAACACCCAGCACCAACAACAAAGAAGCCCAGATCGGAGTCCAAGGGACCGAGGCTGAAACCCTGAAACCCTGAAACCCTAAACCCTAAAGCCCTAAAGCCCTAAAACCCTAAAACCCCTAGAACCCTAAAACCCCTAAAACCCCTAAAACCCCTAAAACCCCTAAATCCTCAAGCCCCAAAAATTTTAAGCCCTACAATGGCCCTACAACCCTAAACGCCTCAAAGCCCTAGAATCCTGGAACCCTAAGCCCTACAACCCCAAAAGCCCTAGAAACCCGGAAGCCTAAATCCCTAACACCCTAAACCCTAAAACCCTATAACCCGAAAGCCCCAAAACCCTAAACCCTACATTCCTAGAACCCTAGACCCTAAAGCCCTAAAACCCTAAAACCCTAGAAGCCCAAAAATCCCAAACCCTGAACCCTAAAACCCTAAACCCAAAAACCCCCAAACCCCCTAAAACCCGAAAACCCTAAACCCAAAATTCCCAGAACCCTAAAAGCCCTAAAGCCCTACAACCCAAAACCCTGAAGCCTTAAACCCCCAAACCCCCGCACCACAGCCTAAAAACCTAAAACCCTAAACCCTGAAAACCCAAAAAGCCCTAAGGCCCTAAAACCCTAAACCCAGAAAACCCTAAAAGCCTAAACCCCAAAAGCCCTAAAACCCTAAACCCTAAGACCCCAAACCCCCTGAACCCCGGCGGTGAGCAGGCACAGCTGATCTACGACCTCGGCTACCGTCGGAACGTGCGCCCGCACCCGTTCCACCAGCTTCAGGGGTTTAGGAGGATGGTACTCAGGAATATTTTTCAGAGGGGTAACCCTAAACCCTAAACCCTAAATCCTAAAGGGTTTTTAGGGCCATCCGAGGAATCCGAGGATAGTAGTGCTAAGGGAAGCTATGATGAACCATCTAAGGCGATTAAAGAGCACCGAACAAGGGCGGTTTAGGGTTTAGAGTTTAGGGTTTAGGGTTTCCTAAGCCCCACACCCTACATAAACCCTTTACAAAAAACTTAGCCAGTAGTTGAGCTTTCGTCTAGTGTTTGCCAGCTTTGTCTTTCACTCCCTGAATGTTGGAGAAATGAGAACAAGCCCTATACTTCAAGCTCCTAAACCCTAAACCCTAAACCCTAAACCCTAAACCCTAAACCCTAAACCCTAAACCCTAAACCCTAAACCCTAAACCCTAAACCTAACTCGAGCGCAGATAGCTGGCATGACCTGGGTCTTCGGGCATGTGGCGGGAAGAGTCGATGTGCCTGGGCGTGGAACTTCGGAAGGTTTAAGCTTCTGAGTTCCTAAATCGAAACCGAAACCCCATACCAAAACCTCCGGCACTTTAGGGTTTATGGAGTAGGGGTTATAGGGTTTAGGGTTTAGGGTCTAGGAGCCAGTTGTTGTTTTGTCAGTTTGTCTTCGCGCCGCCCTCGGGAACCGTCAATTCTTCACAGCTTAGGGTACCAGAAGGACGCCCACATCACTAATGTCATAGGGTGTCGTTAATACCCCCCCCCCCCCCCCCCCCCCCCCCCCCCGCCCCCTAGCAAAGAAAAGATCAATAAAGAAAAGATGTTCTGCATCCGGGTGTTTTGAGGGTGGAGAAAAAGGGTCTGGTTGAAACTAAGGTGTTCTGGGGTCTGGGGGTCTCCTCTTAATGCTAAAGAAATGAGATATGGGTATGTCCCAAAATAGGGGTACCCCTTCCATGCGCTAAACAGAATAGAATCCCCTTAAAGGGCCCGCCCCCCAAAAAGGGGTACCCCTATTTTCGGAAACCCCATATGGTCTCTTAAACCTGGGGCTTCCCGGGGTCACGGGCTCCGAGGTAGTTGTTGCCACCCCTATAGTATTGTTACCTCAGAGGCCGTAAGGGGTCTATACCCCGCGCCCCCTACCCCCGCCCCCTCTCCCCGCGCCCCTCCCCCCCAACGGGCTTTTTCTTCTCCAGGTTCAGGTCTAGGTTCAGGATTTAAGGTGTCTCGGATTCAAGGTCCAGGGTTCTGGGTTCAGAGCTCATCCCTGCGAGGGTTTGCGGGATGGATTGTAGGGTTTACGGGTCTGAGGGCATTAGGGCTTTACAGGCTCTAGGTTTTTAGGGTTTTAGCGCTTTAGGGTTTTCGGGTTTTAGTAATTTAGTTACTTTGGCTTCAACATCACATTGATATCAAGGTGCACTACGCCGACCGCAACGACAACCGCAGCAACTGGCAGCGTGCCACTTGCGTGGCATTTTTTGCTACGGCTTATTGATTCTTCCCTTACATCAGATCCGAGGCAACACCTTGGGACATTCTACTAGGAGGGTTTAGGGTTGAGGGTTCAGTGTTTAGGGTTTAGAAAGCTCGGTAGGACAACGGGATATCTTTCATGTCCCCTCATTGAGTTCAAGAAGAGAATATGTTGAGAATGTTCTTCCGAGGGTTTGAAGGGCCCAGGGAGCGGGATTGGGGCTTCAACTTCCAGGTCATGGGTTCCCCTACTACCCCACCTCGAAACCTCTATAGGGTTTAGGGTTTAGGGTTTAGGGTTTAGCCCCAAGAGCCTGGGGTGAGTGTGCGAACAATGTCTCGCCTTGCAGGCATACTCGCTGATCGGGAACGTCGCCACGGATATTGTCGGATCCCAAGACTTCGAAGGATGCGCGGTTTTAGTGTAATTTCTGAATCAGGTCGTGGGGGACACTCTGATTGCCAATCCCTTCCTCCTAATATTGAACGGGGGGCCTCCCCCCAATAGAAACTTGAAATGTGTTTTTACTATTAGGGGGATGTTTTTATCCAAATGTCATGTTTGGGGTCCACGGGGTTTAGGGTCTAGGCTTCGGTATGAGTAGTGAGGTAGGCTGTGGAGCCACGCTCACAGACAGCTCACCGACGGCCAAGTGCTGCGAAATGACTGGGAGGGAAGGGGGAGGGAAGGGAGCTTCAGGATGTTGGTTGGTTTGAGGGCTTAGGGAGCCCTCAACCCACCTCCCACTTCGGAATAGGGTTTAACAGGCGGTCGGTTTGGGAAGGCTTTTCCGGAAAGGGTTTCTATAATTGGGGCGTACGTTTCATACAAGGGGGAAGCGACCTGAGCGCGCCCAAATCCCTGGAAACAACCATCCCACAACCCTCAACCTGCAAGACTTAATTACATCCCAGACCCGCCATGACGGCCCAAAACCCTAAAGCCTAAAGCCTAAAACTCTGCATGTAGGACTCCTTGCAGATTCTGAGGTTGTGCCGACCACTGTGCACTTCAAGTGCCGCTTTGCATCTTGGTCGGCAGAAAAACTCGGCGGTTCAGGGAACTTCTAACTTCTAACCCAATTAATTATAGCTGTACTTCTAACCCACTAAAAAGCCCCTTAAACCCTAAACCCTAAACCCATTGCGTTATTAAGTACCATGAACCTCCAAAAAGGGGTTCGTTTTCAGGGGGCTCTGGGACAGCGCCTTGGGGCAGTTTCGGGGCGAGCAGCCACCTAAAATCCTCGAAAATGTCGCCCGTCTTTTTGCTGAGGATATCGGCATGTGGTGTGCAGGTACTTGGTAGGGTTGTGCATTTCTTTAGCCTATCATTTCTTTCCCTAAGGGTCCATGTACCTAAATAGGGAGCGCTTGGGCCTTAAAGTACTTCCTATATAGGGACGTTGGGGCCCAAGTATAGAATAAGGTACATGGACCCTAAGGGTTTCTTTTTTTCTTGGGGGGTGGGGGCTGGGGTGGGGGGGTGGGCGGGTGGGAGGGGGCTTAAGGCTGAAGGTAGGGAGTTGACAATACTGCAACTGTCGTAGTCTTTCCGTCGGCGTCTATGCCTGCCAGCGAATGTGTACATTTTCGACATGGTAACTTACATGTATACATATATACCTATATGCATATATGCATATATACATTTTTACATTTTTTACATATATGCATATATGCATATATACATATATACATGTTATACAGCTACACACGCACACATATATATATATATATATGTATATATATATATATATAATATACATGTGAATGCAGGCATGTTCATGCACAACCATGCACATATAATACGCATGGAGACTTCCACAAAACCCTAAACCCTAAACCCTAAACCCTAAACCCTAAACCCTAAACCCTAAACCCTAAACCCTAAACCCTAAACCCTAAACCCTAAACCCTAAGCCCTAAACCCAAGCATGTCCGAAAACACGGCAGATCCGGCTGACGCTGCACGAGCCGCGCACCCGCGAGTTCTGGCATCCAGCCCGGTGCTCACACCAATCGGATGTCTCGCTTGGGGTTTAGGGTTTAGGGTTTAGGGTTTAGGGTTTAGGGTTTAGGGTTTAGGGTTTAGGGTTTAGGGTTTAGGGTTTAGGGTTTAGGGTTTAGGGTTTAGGGTTTAGGGTTTGGGGCCCTAAATCCTAAACCCTAAACTAAAATCTAAGCGATGCTCTGTGGATTTGGAGTTAGGTCTCGGGTTAGTGCGGCTTCGGACTCTTACTCCAAGACTTGCTGAGCCTCAGCCCGAAACCCAAAGCCCTTAAAGTTTAGGGTTTAGGGTTTGGGGTAAGCCCAACATTCCATCAATCCAATAGCCCTGACAGAGCTTGCGAGGAGATAGCAAAAGCCAGAAAGTCAACATGGGTGCTTAGGATTTGGGGTTTAGGGTTCTTTGGTAGCCCATGTCTCTTTCATCTATACTAACTACGAAGCCCAAACATCCATGAGCCCCTATGCAGTGAACTGCAACGGCCCCATCTAAACTTGGTAGCCCGGTGGAGGGTTCTGGGTTCCCTCATAAAATAATAAGCAACCCCAAAAGGGTGTTCTGACCCTAAACCCTAAACCCTAAACCCCAAACCCTAAACCCTGGGCTACCAAGTAAAAAAGGAAAGCACCAACCTTTGTTTTGAAACCTTAAGTGCCCCGATTCTCTCCCTGAAGGCAACCCCTTTAATGACGAGGGTTTTTCAAGGGTTTAGGGTGTAGGGTTAGGATTTAGGGTTTAGGGTTAGGGGGTTAGGGTTTAGGGGTTTAGGGTTAGGGTTCGGAGAGGGTTTAGAGTTCGGGGTGTAGAGTCCCCTTTTTGGTAACTGGGACGTGCTCCACAGCTCCCCTTGGATGCCTTTCCATTCTGAGGACCGCTACGAAGACACGGAGTACTGGAGACTTTGACCCGTGTTGATGGGATGTGCTTCAGAGGGTTTAGGGTTTAGGGTTTAGGGTTTAGGGTTTAGGGTCTCGATGTTCTTCAGAGCGACCCTAAAGCCCGGAAACCCTAAGCCCTAAGGGTTTTCAGAACTAACTAGGGGCTGAGTGTTTGATTAGGGACTTATAGGGCTTCAAACGGTTCAGGGCTTCTTGCCAAAACGTTATCTCCCCCCCCCCCCCAAAAAAAAAAAATATTAAATAAGGCCCACCAAGCCCCCTCGACACCCCAACCACCCCAAGGCACCTGAGTTGCCAATAAGATCCTAAAGGCAAAGCTTTAAACTTTTTGGGATTGGGGGGGGGACAAAAGAGAGGGAAACCCTAAACCCTAAATAAAGCCAAAACCCAGAGTTTCAGGGCCCTGGTGTCCGGTTGGCTACTCGATACCAGGTAGTTTCTTGCCCCCCAAACCCCAAAGCCCAAACCCCAAGCCCGAAGCCCTAAACCCTAAACCCTAAACCCTAAACCCTAAACCCTAAACCCTAAACCCTAAACCCTAAACCCTAAACCCTAAACCCTAAACCCTAAACCCTGACCTCATAGGAGCCTCCCCGAACTTAGCGGGCCAGGGACAGCCTGCTGTCGCTGAAAGACTTCAAAGCCTACGAGCACACAGGTGGCGGTGGAGTGCGCAAGCCCAACACCCTATGGTCAAGAGTCTAGGGTTTATCTAGATCAGTGTTAGATATCCTTTTTACTTTTTGGGTTATGGGCTTTCTTATATATGAGCAAAAAGGATCCCTTTTTTCTTCCTAGGGGAACAGGGATTAAGTTATAGGGTTTAGGGCTTTGGGCCCTAAACCCTAAACTCTGAACCTTGGGATGCTCCCCCATATACTAACAGTCCGTGATAGGGATTTTCATAGGGGTGGGGTACCTATAATGCCTATGAAGGAGTGTTTGTATAAGGGGGAACATCCGAACTATAAACCCTAGACCAGTCAGCATAAACCCTGAGGCCTAAGGTCCTAATCTCACACGGGCTCGCCATTCTAATATTGAAGAGTTCCCAGAGAGGTACATTCATTATTAGTGGGACTAGCATCTACTGCATATTCGCCCAATACGTTGCTGCACATTTGCCCACTTCGTTGCTAGGATGTTGAGGGCTGGTAAACCCTAAACCCTACACAGCAATCTACACCTTACTGGGATCTTCCTGGTTTCCCTTGTCAGGCGTCAGTCAGGGCATAGGATTCAGGGTTTAGGGTTTGGGTGTTCTGGGTGTAGGGTTTCGGGTTCCTAAACCCTAAATTTTAAAAACCTGCACCCAAAGACCCGCAAACCCTGAAGCTTACTTCCCATTCTCTGCTTGAAGTTCCTCAGGTACTGGGATTCCAGTCCGTGGATGGAATGGAGCAACTCGGACCCTCGTGGATCCTATCTACCCCTCCCCCCCTCCCCCCTCTCCCCCCCCAGGGTTTAGGGTTCTCGTTTTTTGTGGGTACTCTTAAACTCCTACCCCAAAAACCGACAATGAGGCCTTCATTCGGCCTTATTCTGGGTAGGGAGTTAGTAAGGGGTGGGTCATGACTGAGGAGGGCTTTTGGGTTCACATACATGGTCACATGATCCTGCACCTGCCATCATGTGTGCCCTTGAAGACCTCGAAACCCGAAGATCTGACTTTAGCGTTTGGGGTTTAGGAGACAGGGCTGAGGATTTAGGGCTTCATATGTGCATAGATCATGGCCCCTTGCCCTAAATCCAGAAGCCCTAAACCAAAGAAAGGGTGACACTTTATTGGCAGAAGGTGTTTAAAGCTCGCCTTCTACAAATCAGCTGTTTAGGTCCTTCACTTGAAATAACGGTAAGCGGAGTTGAGTGGTTGTGTTACACCGGCTTAGTTCTTTGGACATGCCGTAAACCCTAAACCCTTAACCCTAAAACCCCAAGCCCTAAACCCTAAACCAATGCACGCAGAGCTTAGAAGTGCTGACTTCGTAACACCCCAAGCAAACAGCGAAGAACAACTTGCGCTAGCGAGTTTAAAAAGCATCCGGCGCTTGCACATGGCAATGACAAAGTTTTAAAATTCACAGCAATAGGAGCAATGCAGACAACCATATCAAGGATAATGATACTCTTTCCGCGCAACTGAGGCGAACACGGATACTCACGATAGTAGCAAGCTGCAGCACGGGACCCCTAACATTTTTCCATACCATCGACATTTTTCAACCACAAACAACTGAACTCTAAGATCGTGAAAGAATCAACTCCTGATAGCTTCGCTCTTATCGCTTCGCCCTTGTCTAGGCTTTGAAGCAGTTGTGTTAAGTGTGTCAGGGTTGCTCATGCTTCGCGCCACCTAAAGAATCTGGGGCTTTCTTCTAGGGAGAACCGCAAGCTTGTTTCGCATTGAGCATCCCAAGCCCTGAGCCCTAAACGCCCTCTTCCCCAGATCAGAACACCCAGTCCACCCTAGACCCCACACCCTAAAGCCTCAGTCGTAGGGTATGTAACCTTTAACCTTTTTGGGGTAATATAGTCCCCTTATAATCCAAGAGGCGAACCTTTAGTTCCCCTAGGTTTAGGGTTTAGGGGTTAGGGTTTAGGGTTTAGGGTTTAGGGTTTAGGGTTTAGGGGTACTGGACAACTAAGTTGTACCCTTAACCCTGAACCCCAAAACCCTAAACCCTCGATCTCAACAGGTGCCCTGTTTGGTCGCCAAATGCCAGGGGGTACCATTTTGCCCCTAAACCCTAATTAAACCCTAAACCCTAAACCCTATATGGGATGATGGGTTGTTCGCAAGAAGTAGTCAACACCAAGCAAAGGGGACCCGTAATCTAACAAGGTTGCCGGGCTGGCAAGACCAGCTTGGGGTCTGGAGTCTAGGGTCCCTAATCCCTAAACCCTAAAACCTAAACCCTAAGCCCTAAACCCTCAAACCCCACAAACTTTTCACAATGCCTCGAGAATCCTCGCCCTGCGATCAACTCCAAGACCTGAGCTTAGGGTTTAGGGTTTAGGGTTGAGGGTTTAGGGCCCAGCGATCAACTCCAAGACCTGAGCTGTTTAGGGTTTAGGGTTTAGGGTTTAGGGTTTAGGGTTTAGGGTTTAGGGTTTAGGGTTTAGGGTTTAGGGTTTAGGGTTTAGGGTTTAGGGTAGTTGAACCTTTCTTTTATTTATATGTAATCATATTTCCCCTTTTAGGGGCTATGGTACTCAGCCCCTAAGTAAAAGGATTGTATCTTTGCCCAGCTCAGGTACACCACCATAGCCTATGGCTTGCGACAGCCGGGTGAATGGATCATCAGCAGCGAGGTGGGGAGTGGGGGTAAGATGTAGGCGGCAGGGGGTATAGGTGGGGGGCTAGATAGGGGGGGCTAGGGGGGGTAGGGGGTGGAGGGTAGGGGTGGGGGGTAGGGTGGGGTAGGGGGAACACATTTCAGCACATGATGCTCCTGAAGCGTGCTTACATTCTAGTTACAAGGCGACGCTGGGAGAGCTCTTCAAACAAAAAGCGGACCCTCGTTATTGAGTGACCCGCTCATAGGCATGCGAGTGAGGTAGGCTTTGTTGAGGATCGGTTTTCTTGAACGTTTCTTGTTGTTTATATATGTTTGTATTGACTCAGTCTTTGAACACTTCCATATTTCAGATTATAGGTTGCGTGCTATTTATCAGTACTATTCTTCGTGATGAACGTATTGACCTTCTCAATGCAAGTAGGGCTTAAGGTTCAGGGTTTAGGGTTCCTTGTGGGACTTGACTACTGGGAACACCCCTAAACCCTAAACCCTAAACCCTAAACCCTAAACCCTAAACCCTAAACCCTAAACCCTAAACCCTAAACCCTAAACCGTGGCTCTGTGGGAACACCCAAACTATGCTCTAAACTATTAGGTTTGCGGCGTAGGGTTGGGAAACTCAGATCTGCTTGGGGTGCTGGGTTTAGGGTTTAGGGTTTAGGGTTTAGGGTTTAGGGTTTAGGGTTTAGGGTTTAGGGTTTCCCCCCCCCCCCCCCCCAAAAGTCTGCACCCTAAAGCCCTAAACACTCAACAGCCCCTAAACCCCCCAAACCCCGAAGCTTCAAAACCCTAAAGCCCTAAACCCCTGGACCCTAGGCCTTAAACCCTAAACCCTAAACGCTAAACCCCTGAACCCTGAACCTGAACCCCTAAACCCAAAACTCCAGAACTGCCCCAATGCCTGAGCCCCGGAGCCTTCCTGTGCTGCGAGGCAGACTTGGTCACACAGGACTCTGAGCCGACTCGTGCGGGTTTAGGGTGTAGGTTTTGGGGTTTAGGGTTTAGGGTTTAGGGTTTGGGGTTCAGGGTTTAGGGTTTAGGGTAACCCTAAATTCTAAACCCTAAACCCTAAACCCTAAACCCTAAACCCTGGTGCGCTCTTTCAATTTGAGGGGCATCCAGGGCCTCAGTTCCAGTCCCAACCGCCGGCCTGCCACGTTTTGGGTGCAGGTGTTCTAGGGTCTGGGGGCTTAGGGGCTTAATTCGGGCGGTTGTTTGTTTGATGGGTTTTTAGGGTTTGGGGGTTTCCGCGTTTTGGGGCTCAGAGGTTGTAGGGTTTAATTAGGGATTTGAGGGTTTCGGGTTGAGACTGTTTGCGGGCTAGGGATCCCTAAGCCCTAAACCCTGAACCCTAAACCCTAGACCCTAAACCCTGAACCCTAAACCCTAAACCCCTAAACCCCTAAACCCCTAAACCCCTAAACCCCTAAACCCCTAAACCCCTAAACCCCTAAACCCCTACACCCCTAAACCCCTAAACCCCTAAACCCCTAAACCCCTAAACCCCGAAACCCCGAAACCCCTAAACCCCTAAACCCCTAAACCCCTAAACCCCTAAACCCCTAAACCCCTAAACCCCTAAACCCCTAAACCCCTAAACCCCTAACCCCTAAACCCTAAGCAGAAACTCCGGTGGGTTGAGGGAGTCTAGGTTCAGGGCTGCGGTAGGAGCTGCCCGTCAATTACAGCTTCAACGATGTGGGACAGATCGCTTCGGCCTTAGAATTTAGGGTTGAGGGTTTAGGGTTTGGGTTTGGGGTTTAGGATTTAGGGTTTAGGGTTTAGGGTTCAGGGTTTAGGGTTTGGGGTTAGGGTTTAGGGTTTAGGGTTTGGGTTTAGGGGTTTGGGGTTTGTGGTTTGGGGTTTAGGGTTTAGGGTTTACGGTAGCTCCGACCCCACACCTTTCGTGGCCCAGAGTCGGCCCTTTCTTTCTTTTTTAGGAACCTGTTTCAGGGTTGAGGTTCCCTAACAGGGAAGCCCTTTATGCCGAACCGATGTCCCCTTTCTGTTTCAACCGACACCCCAAACCCCAAAGCCCTAACCCAAAGCCCTAACCCTAAACCCTAAACCCTAAACCCTAAACCCTAAACCCTAAACCAAAAACCCTAAACCCTAAACCCTAAACCCTAAACCCGAAGGATGCCAGGTACCAATCCCTGCGGAATACACCACCCCTCAATCCCTGATTTAGGGTTTAGGGCGCGGGGTAAGAGAAACTACAGTTCTAAGCGTCGATCTGAAACCTCTCTCCCTCTCGCTCTCTCTCACTTTCTTTAGGGTTTAGGGTCTAGGGTTTAGGGTCTAGGGTCTCGGGTTTAGGGTCTAGGGTTTAGGGTTTAGGGTTTAGGGTTTAGGGTTTAGGGTTTAGGGTTTAGTAGGGTTTAGGGTTTAGGGTTTAGGGTATAAAAGCCCCGAACCGCGAACCCTTAACGAATGGGGTCCCAGAATTTAGATCGCTCTGGGGTTTTAGGGGTGAGGGTTGCTAGGATAACTTATGGGGTGCGGTAGGGAGACTTTTGAGAAAATTGTTCATTGCCATCTTTTGTGTTTTTGGTGTCGTTATCTTACCCAGACTTTGATTTGTGGGCAAACTACATATATACACATCTGAATTAATATATATGTACATACATATATGTATCTATATATATATATATATATATATATATATATATGGTCACCCCCCCCCAATGGACCCACCGCGGGCCTTGATCTTTGCAAAAGTACCGCAAATACCGATAAAACCTATGCTGTCTGGTGATTTTCCGGTGACCGGATTTTTGACTGTATTCCTTAATTCACTCTCTCACACACACGGATGGTTTTTCTTTCTGTTGGCTTTTGTTTATAATTTAAGACTTAGGCATTTAAACCTAAGCCTGCAAAAAAACCCTTGACCTTTAAACCCTGTAGGGTTGAGGTTTCAAGGTTAAGGGTTTAAGATTTAGGCATTTGAACCTATGCCGGCAATTAAACCCTAAGCCCTTAACCTTTGAATTCTATAGGGTTAAGGTTTTTACAGGTTTAGGTTTCAGATGTAGGCATTTAAACCTAAGTCTGCAACTAATTTTAAACCCTTAACCTTTAAACCCTATAGGGCTAAGGTTTAAAAGCTTAGGGTTTAAGATTTAGCCATTTAAACCTGTAGCCAAGCCCTTAACCTTTAAACCCTGTAGGGTTAAGATTTTAAAGGTTTAGGATTTAAGATTTAAGCATGTAAATCTCAGACTTCATTAATTTTAAACCCTTAACCTTTAAACCCTGTTGGGCTGAGGTTTAAAGGTTTCGGGCTTAAGATTTAGGCATTTAAACCGATTCCGGCAATTAACGCTAAGCCTTTAACCTTAAAACCCTATAGGGTTAAGATATTTAATGGTTTAGGGTTTAAGTTTAAGGTTTAGGTATTTAGACCTATGCCGGCAGTTCATATTGAACCCTTAACCTTAAACCCTATAGGGATAAGATTTAAAGGTTTAGGATTCTTTACTTAGACATTTAAATCTAAGCTTGCAATTAAACCGAAACCCTTAACCTTTAAAACCCTATAGGGTGAAGGTTTAAAGTTTTAGGGTTTAAGATTCAGACATTTAAACCTAAGACGGCAATTAACAATAAGCCCTGAACTTTTAAACCCTATAGGGTTAAGGTTTAAAGGTTTGGGGTTTAAGATTTTGGCATTTAAACCTAAGTATGTATAATTTGTCACCCTTAACACCCTTAAACTTTGTAGTGTGAAGGTTTAAAGGTTTAGGGTTTAAGATTTAGACATTTAAACCTAAGCCCATAGAGTCTAAACCTTAAGGGTTAAGGTTTAGGCATCTATTCCTTAACCCTAAACCCTCTCTGGTCAGGACCCTAAAGCCCTCGGCAATCAAGCCTAAACCCTTGACCTTCAAACCCCATAGGATGAAGGTTTGAAGGTTTGGGGTTTAAGGCTAAGGCATTTAAACCTAGAGGGCATTTAAGCCTTAACCCTAAACCCTAAACCCTTCAAGGCCAGAACCTTAGCACCCTATATGGATCTAGCACCTGCAGGTATACATCGGTTTTTAAACCATTACACCCTGTAAGAAGGTTTAGGGTCTTTTCGGGGTCTATCTCTAAATTTCCCACGGGGTTAACCCCGAAGGGTTTAAAAGTTAAAGGTTTAGGATTAAAGTTTAGGCAATACGTAAAGGATTAGAAGTCTTCTCCTGGTAAAACCATCTTTTCTCGAGAAAAAGATGGTTTTTCGAAGGATGGCTCAAAACCACCTTTTTCTCAAGAAAAAGATGGTTTCCAACCAAAAAACCATCTTTTTCTCGAGAAAAACAAAAAACCAAAAAAACCAAAAAAAAACATCTTTCCAAAACTATGGGGCTGGGGCCTCCAAAAGATGGTTTTTTTGGTTTTCTCGAGAAAAAGATGGTTTTTTGGTTCGAAACCATCTTTTTCTCGAGAAAGATGGTTTTTGGAGGTCTTCTCCTGGTAAAACCATCTTTTTCTCGAGAAAATGATGGTTTTTGGAGGTCTTCTCCTGGTAAAACCATCTTTTTCTCGAGAGAAAGATGGTTTCCAACCCAAAAACCATCTTTTTCCTGGGAAAACAAAAAAAAACAAAAACAAAAACAAAAAAACATCTTTTGGAGGCCCCAGCCCCATAGTTTTGAAAAAGATGTTTTTTTTTGGTTTTTTTGGTTTTCTCGAGAAAAAGATGGTTTTTTTAGTTCGAAACCATCTTTTTCTCGAGAAAAAGATGGTTTTACCAGGAGAAGACCTCCAAAGACCATCTTTTTCTCGAGAAAAAGATGGTTTCGAACCAAAAAACCATCTTTTTCTCGAGAAAACCAAAAAAACCAAAAAAACCATCTTTTCCAAAACTATGGGGATGGGGCCTCCAAAAGATGGTTTTTTTGGTTTTTTTGGTTTTTTTGGTTTTCTCGAGAAAAAGATGGTTTTTTGGTTCGAAACCATCTTTTTCTCGAGAAAAAGATGGTTCTACCAGGAGAAGACCTCCAAAAACCATCTTTTTCTCGAGAAAAAGATGGTTTTACCAGG